TTATGATTCCAGGAAGTCCTCTTCGGCTCCAATTTCCCGCTGAAAACAAGATGCCTTGAGCGACGGTTCCCTACCTTCCATTTCACAATTTTTTTTTTTGGGGGGGGGGGGGAGGAGATGGGGGGATACGGCTTCACACTGGTTAGGGTTTGTTATATCGAAAACCTCGATTTAACGAATTTGCGGGAAAACAACGAAAATGTTCGTTAAATCGAGGAATGGTTAATGATTTTTTTTTGGTGGTGTCACGTCGGGTTACCCAGCATTTCGGGATCGGAACGATTACTGTGAATAACATTTGTGCGTTAATATCTATATGAAGCTACAGTACGCTGTACAGGTCTGTACATAGCTACAGTACCTTGCTTTTAAAGCACGTAGGACAAATTTCAGTGGAAGTCACTGGCAAACAAAGAAACAAGGGTATTAGACAGGAAATTCCTGCCTCTTACATATTTAACTACAAGAAGCTTTATTGTACCTAATAAGAGAAAAAGAGGATAAATCGGATCTGTAGATGTGTCAGTAGTGTCAGTGTCGGCATTCGTGGGATTTATGATAATCACAAATCTCGTTGTTTTGTCATTGCGTTACTGGCTATCTTAGAATTTTCTATTACACTAACGCAAATGTACGTAGCGGCCATTAAGTAACTGCGTTACTGGCTTTATTATGGTCGGTAATAATATATACCATCCGACAAACTTAGTGGCTCCAAGAAATTCTCGTATCTGTATACGAGCGAAATTACGAATTTCGCCGTTATCTTATCGCCGTCGGCATTTGTAGGGAGCCGTTAGCTGTGAAGTTGTTCTGATGTTAAAAAATTGAAGGATTTTGATTCTTGTTGGTCTGTTTTGCTTTTGTCCTTTGTCACGTGTTGACATTTGTTCATTATATCGGGGTATATTATACGTTTCGACTTCTAGATTGTATTCGTTATACAAGGATTTCGTTATATCGAGGTTCTTTCATATACATTTTACTGTAACTTTGGTCGGGCTGAAGACTATCGTTCGTTATATTGAGGAATTCGTGTCATAGAGGTTCGTTACATTAAGGTTCTACTGCGCTTTAAGTTGCATCAGGCCTCGGAGACCAGTGGAATTCTGGTTGCATGGTTCTTCTGGCTCATACTAAATTTAACTGAGTGTAATTTTCAGGGGAGAGGGATATGTCTGATGGTATGAGCACATCCTCTCACTTTTACTTTACTTCCTTTATTTTGAAGTGAAGTTGCAATTAATTTTTTCACAAAACAACAAAATTCTCACACAATAAATTATCTTGAAGACACTTTGTTTAAATATATTGAAGTAGCTGAATTTTATCTTCCTTACATATTTACATATTTAAGTATTTACTGTGCAGGAATACCAGCTTCAGCTTTTGTTTCTTTGGTCTAGGAAATGTAATAGAATAAACCATTGAACTTTTTTTTTGCAATAGGTAAATCAACAGAAAAATAAAATAACATGCTTCGTTGACATCTTTGAAAGGTTTTTCCCAAAGATAAGATTATGATGGAAAAATTAAATCCCTTTGTTATTCAAATCCTAACTAAACATATGGAAGTAAGAGATGATTGTCTCATTTTGTTCACTACAGTTTTGAATATTTAATTCTAAGGATAACGGCCGCCCGGTAGTATCAACGAACTTGGAGGATTAGTTAACAACAAACTGAACTGTTCAATCATCATGAAAAATGAAAAATAACAATATATCTGAGTTTAATTAAGATGATGCTGAATGGAGAAGTGCATTATATATCATAGCCGCAGTGATTATTTACTGTGGCTGCAAACTGATGACTGGGTTGGATTTTTTTTTATGTTCTTTGAAATGTTTACATGTTCAACTTTCTTATCATTCTTTTCTATGGCATCAAGTAGGTATTTGAGTTATTTAATCCTGGTCTTATAGACTTAGTTATTTTAGCCCAAATAAGTAAATTTAAAAAAGCGTTATGGATGTATAAAATACCCAAAGTGAATTTAAAATGAGACAGCCTTTACGTTTATTACTTGCACAGCTTTAAACATCTGTGTGGGCTTTTTTTGTCAACTGATTTGAAAATAGAATTATTTTTGCGTTGGGAAATTTGGTGACGTTGTCTAAGCATGCATCATGATACCTCAATAGAGGGCCGGGAGACAATCGCATGACATTTTTTAGCAGCAAACAGAAGTCCACTTTTATGATATACGGTGGTTTTTTTATATTATTATATAATATTATTATATTATTATTTATATAGTGAAATGAATAAAGGTAAAAGCGAGGCATTACAAAATAAACGGAAGAAAGTTAAAATTTACCACCAAATTTACCATTTATCGCCTCCCCCCCGCCCTCGAAAAGTTCTGATTAAAATTCTCAAGTCTCTGCTGCTTATGGCAGAGCTTCTCTCACTTTCTTTGTGTCTTTGTAGTATGTCCGCGCGTCCTCTCATGACTGAGATGGTCCCGTTTTACATATAACACTGTGGCATTTTGGGAAAGATTCACAATTTACTAATATTTCTAATGAGATAAGGGGTTAAGAACAGCTCAGAGAGCCCTGACACCAGTCAAACTAGGAGCAAAATAACCGGCTGAGACAAAAAATTCCTTCTAAAGTTTCTCATTCACTTTCCTTGCGTTCAGCTTTTGTATGAAATGTCCTGTTTAGCTGATCAAAAATGAGAAAGTTGGGCGAACAATAATAACTGAATCCTGCGTCAAGTTTTTCGGTACAAGAGGAAGTGCAACAAAATATGAGTGTTTCAGTGACATCTTCCACAACCTCCTAAACTATTCACGCAAATTAAGAAAGAAAATTGACGATTCTCAATGAGCTTTTTCTTGACTCATTTAGCGGGTACTTTTAACTTATTGATCACAGTTAAGTCTTATTAAAATTTCGCGGTTACTTAATTTTGCGATTTTGGGGAGACGATATTTTGCGGGGTTTTATTCTCGCGATTTCAAAAGTCAAATATAGAAAAGGTGCATTAAATTTCAAGATTCAGACGTTCTCATTTCATTTCAACTTTCAACACGTCAACTTTTGACGGCCGCACGAGATATATCCTAAGGAATTTGTACGAATTGAGAGAGCGATAAATTAAGATGAAGATGAGAGCTGGATTCTCTGCACCATATGCGAAACCCTTGCAAAGTACATAAGACCAGTTAATGATTTGTGTATTTTTCAACACATATCCTGTATATTTTGTTGTTATTAAATGTTGATCACTTTTTTTGTGATTTGAATTTTCAATGAGGAAATAATTTAATTGCGCGCGTTTAGATTCCGTGCGGGTTTTTATGAGCCGATCTTCAATTATAACAAATGGTGCTCGGGTGCTTATTTTCTTCAATATAGATTTAGATTAGGTAGCCTAATAACAAGTTTCAGCAAATTTACTGGGACAACAGGACTAATAAACAGGGGTTAAAATACAGACGAGCACGTGAACACACAGAGGCGCAAAAGAATAATATATAACATTGCTAACATGCTTTTTCATTGTGTTATCTTTGAATTCGCTCTCTTTAAGGTTAAAACGTTTTTTGTCGTCATTAGTGTCATTTATTTCGTTCCTTTTTTTTCCTCATCTACTTTATTTATTTCTTTCTTTATTTATTTAATCATTATTTATACACGGTAAAAAAATATTCATCAGGTACAAAAAATTCCAATACAATGACTAATGTCCTAAGAACCTAAAAATCCTTGTCCTAACATCATATTAACTTACAACAATGTGCCACTTAAAAACCTGATTTCCATGAATGCCGCGTTTAAAAATTATGATAGAGAAGGCGTTTAAATTGGTTTAATAAACCAGACTCTCTAATGTTATACAGGGCAAGCTATTCCAAAGGGTTGTGCGGCTATAACTGTGCGGCTTGTTTACCGAGTCTTTTTTTAATATAATATTACTGTTTCTTTAATATAATTTACAATCAAATTAAAGGTTAGTCTTGCATGTGAACAGTGCTTAGCTTAAGACACCGAGTCTTGTAATCGATTTTCGGTTTACAAAGTTGAAGGTATAAATGTTTTGATTCACAGATTAGAATGAAATATTGGCGGGTGTTAAAACTTCCTTTCCAAAATAAGAATGAGACATTTGAAATGCTAATTATTAAACAAAGAGGAAATGACTAGAGGGGCCAGAGGCTGACTTCATTTTGTGAAAGATTTTCTCCTCTGAAAAATAACTTACGTTATCATTTTGCCACAACTAGTGCGAACACTGTCTTTGTTTTTATCTTTCAGTTTTTTCCACCTCAGCTTTAAACACGTTGATAAACCTTTCTTCAGAGGCGACGTGAGATAAATATATGTCAAGCCTCCACTTTAGCAACTTACGTACAACCCCACCAGCTTGAGACATCTGTTAGGGTTTTATTGATGTATACGTGAATAAAATATTTGTTGTTTTGGTAAATGTGACTGCAGAATAAAAACACTCTTGCGGAGAAAAAAACAAACACTTTTCAGGTAATTTTGTAGTTCTTTTTGTGTTATAAATTAGTTTAAGTAGAGTCTTATGCTACTCTGCCGGAGAAAAATAAAAAGGAAAAAAAAAACGCGAGGATAAGAGAACATAACGCTTTGCGTCGTTATATGAGTAATTAACTTCTTAATAAACTTTTGACGACGATGAATTTTTATTTTATTTGCCAACGCAACTTTTTCACAAAGAACACTATATGGAATATTACTAGAATTGGGATAGGTGTGACGCAATGATAAAATAGCAGTCAATGAAATGGTAAAAACATTCACCGTATGATATAGCCACGTACAGTGGCTGGGGAACGCTTAGTCATGAAGGAATAAATATTGTGGTTCAATCACGAGACAAAGAAAATCAGGTCGAAGCCGATGATGATACTGAATCGCAACGTTTACAACGTATAGATATGCTGAGGTGCCGAGTAGAGGCTCACAGATAATACAGATTTGAATTTATTTTTATTCTCATTTGCTTTTCTTTGTAGGAAAGATGTCTAACATGTGGACTTTCACTTTTGTTTTGGGTAAGTCGGTTGCGCTTGTTTAAGACGTGTAGTTTTCACGAGCGAGCATGAGACACCATTGAGTAGTTTTGGTTGTGAGAAAATTTGTGACAAAATTTTAACCCAAAGATTACTCTGATCTGCCGAGGGTAAGCTTAGATCAATTTTATCGGCAGAATGGTTAAAAATATGTAATGTTCGAGGCAAGTATTCTGTCAGCAAGTTCACGTAAAAATATGGGCAAAACTAAGGGAAATCAGTAACATTATTTATACGCAGAACAGTTGTAGGAAGGTTCAGAGAAATTCATTGGCTCTAAACACAAATCTTTTATTGTATACCTTGATAATTTCTCGTTTTCTTATAGTGTTAGTGCCTTTTAGCAGCTCCTCCATTTTGATGATTACGACTCAGTAAAGAAATGTTATTGTGCTAAGTTCGAGGAATCTATACGCTCCATAAATTAGTTATAATTAGCGTTACATATTAGGCCAAGGTTACCATCCGTATTTGTGAAAATAGGTACAACCCGAAGGAACGTTTTTTTTTTGGCCACCTAGGGTAATTAAAAGCGTAATTTAAGAATCGTGGTAATATTTCGAGTAAATTATGCAATTTTACCGATCAGGATTACAGTCTGGCAGTTTAAACTATTATGCGAACGGAAGCTATCCAAGCCTAGCCACTTGCCATTCATAATAGTTCTTAACGAGAACATCGTAATTTGCGCGAAGATTATGTGTGCAATCCATGCTTACCACATAGACGACCAGGGACATTTGACTCTTGTAGCACAGCGTGACCGATCAGTTGTTAATTACTGAAGTAGGAGTTTGACATGCTCACTGATTTATTAAGAATAAATACTTCTCATTTTACAGGTTTACCAGAAGAGTACAGGGAAAATTTTCCTATGAACTTAATCTCACAGTCTATCATGAGTTTCATTATCGTTTACGCACACGATAACGGAGGCTTAAAAAAACGAGATGGACAGTCATTAATGAATTACTTGTGCAAATTATGTATAGTTATTCCTCTGTGAAATTATTTTCTTTGTCAGTTGCAATAATCGCAGAAGTATACTCCCGTGATATCCCAGACTTTGGTTCAACCCAGCGTCTTCAAGTGGAAAAAGGGCAATATATGGAAATACGATTGGGGCTATGGATACACCGTGACTCACCTGGAGCACCTTGTGCAGATGAGGAATATCTTGAGATCCGTGATGGGTATAATCAGTCTGGAAATCTTTTGGGTGTATTTTGTGGAAGATACGTTCCTCACTTTACGCTACGTTCCAATGGACAGAACACGTGGTTAAGGTTCTCATCTAACCATAGATACCGGCTATTTTATCCCAGATATTATGAGGGAAAAGCATTAAGTGCAACAGGTAAGTATTCTTAGGTTAAAATGTTCTGATTTTCCTAATGGTATAATTTATTCTGGATGATATGTCTTCTTATGTTTGTGCTTAGTTCCCACTAACCTAAGAAACGTCGCAAAGACTCAGTTTGTCCTCCACCAATCGTCATCTTTGTGGTGCCCGGCGGAAGGTGGACCAGCTCCTCGCATTGTTTGGAGAAAGAATGGCGCTGTTGTGCAAAACAGCACTAGCGTGCGACTTCAAATCAACGTCACTGAAGAAGAAAGAAGTACAACTTACAGCTGCGAAGTGGACGACCATGGCCAGTTGAAGAGGAAAAACATCAATCTTATCGTCGAGAGTAAGTCTCAAGTTACATCTTTACTTCAAGGGGATCTCAGTTGTTGTGTGTGCTTTTAGTAAACCTTACTCTTTGTCTTGAGTCAGTTTTAGGAATTTTTGGTTTCAGAATAAAACCGTCGATAGTTTTATTCAAGGGTAACCTGAAAAGTCATATTTACGAAATAAAACAAAAAATAACTAAGCTTCTATTTTTCAATTTATTTAAAGATTAGTTTTCATGCTTTTGCTTCAATTTTAAAAACATTATTGACTCGATTGACCGCTGCTCAAAAATAAGCGCCACATGTAAGAGCAAGGATATGGAAAAACGCTGCATCTGAAAGAGCGGCGTCCATTCAAAGCACCATAACAACGAGACAACTAGTTTACAAGAATTGCGTCTGTTTAACAGCCACTGTTTTTTCTTTCAACAAACAACGTTGATTTTCTTGTCTAAGTCACCATCTTGTCACAAAATAGATTACGCCCGCCTTGCTCTAAGCAGATCAATACATTCTGATGCAATGTTTTTCTTACAAACATTTGTGAAAGAAGTCTTGAGAAGACGAAGTTGTAGCAGCCGTTTTATTAAACTTAGCAGACACAGAAGGAATAGAAATGGTCTCGAGTTTGGAATTGTACTTGAAGTCAGATATACAATCTGTTACCATTACGAGGGGGATTGATAGACCAATTAGGAAGAACTCCCTAGTGCGGCTTTGTTACATTTAATATCTGTCAAAGAAATTTATCATACCTTGATCTTTCTTCACGATGGAAAGAATCAAACCAGGTCTCAAATAATGTATTGCACATAGCTTTCTTATTCCTTGCTTTTCATCGATTTCTGACCATTATTAATTGATATTTATAAACATTTAAAAAAAGAAAAAAAATTGAATTGTTGAATATAGATTTTTTTTGTTATCGGTTGATCACGTTGAGAAACTAATCCAAATAACATTTAAAATGGCGAACTGATTTTCCCTTTCTCACGTGACAAAGCGTGTTGAAAATAATACTGCCTGCAATCGATCCACATTTAACGATTTTTGCTGTGATGCCATCAAAAACTGTGCTGTTCAAACTATTGATTTTCTGAAGCCGGGGAATCGCAAAATCGTTCAGAATGGATAAACAATCAACTAGCTCAAACGTAGTAACCAGAAAGTGATGCAAACATCTTCTGTCAATTATCATTTAAAAGTGATTCAAGTGATTCAAATATCAATTTTAAATGGAAGCCTGTTTTTGTTTGTCAGAGTGTCCTCAACAGTGCCAATGCAAAGTCCTTAAAGGCAACATGAGGAGCTTAGTATCGGCCGATTGTGGAACGAAACAGCTTAAGTTAATTCCAAAGAAAATTCCCCGAGCCACAGGAAAACTGTAAGTAGTTAATACATTATATAATTTTAGGTAACGACATGATTTCGAGTACAATTTGGTGTTAATAAGCACCAATAAATTTTCAAAGACAACAAAATTGAAGGAGTCCCTACGGCGAGTACAATGTGTAGTCTTTGACAGATTTACATGTGTGCTTATTTACACCACACTGCACTCGAAATCATGTCGTTACCTGTTAGTCATGTTAACGATTTACATACGAAAAACTCACCACAGAGCGTCAAGAAGAACGAAATTTTGGCAGCGCGCGCGCTATTTAGAATTTACATGAAAATGCAATCGTTTTTAGCCAATCAGACGCACGTAATTTTTTCATGTATAAAATTAAGCCTCAAATTTGGCTTTCGTTCGAATTTGGAAGTGGCACACTGATTGCCTAAAGTACGAGAAGGTATGCTAAAGACAAAATCATTTTATGGTCGTCTGTAATTTTGTAAGAAATTTCATAAGAAATAAGAAGAATTACATTCCATAACTGTTGAACCAGATGCGTCGGGAGATTTCCCTTCCTATCTTCATTCAAATTGTCGAAAAGAAAGAAGAGCCAACTGATGTACTTAGCATATGTAAAAATTGTTAGATTTTTATACTTCTGTAACTAATTAGAATGTAAAGAAACCAATGAATGCATTTTCAGTACATTTGGAAATGTTGTATAGGTTAATTTTCAGTCAGATTTACGCAAGAGTTTGAGATATTGACCCAGTCTTACTTTCGATCGACAGGTTTTCTGCTGGTTTTTTTTTTTTTTTTGACGCTCACTCGGTAAAAAACAGATGATGGTTTTACTGCTAGCTGTTGATTATCCTTTTACAATTTGAGTTAAAACTGACTTTATCTTTTGTTGCAGCACGCTCTCAAACAACAAACTGAAGCACTTGCCGAAGGAAGTTTTCAGTAGAAATTCTAATCTGCTAAAACTGTAAGTCATATTGATATTGTCAACTTCTTTTGTATTCCGATGTATTGGAGAATAACTGATGGAAAATAATGTTTCATTCAGCGAGCTGCTTTGGGTGCGTTTCGCAAATCAAAATGCATGAATTTCGCAAATTAGCTAAATTAAATTCTGTAATTTCTGAGTGATGAGTAAACTTTGATAAGATATCTATGTCGGACCATCAATATCAGAGTATTTATTTCTTTGCTCGGTTTGAGTATTGAATATTTTCTTTCCATGCCGCAGAAGTTCACCATTTTTACTATCCGGTATTTTAAAAACAGTCGTAACTTTAACTGTATGTGCTTCTCATTCATAACCAAGTTTGGTGACCACACCTTTTTTTTCATGTTAAATTGCAATCAGCATATAAGGTGGTAGGTTTTTGCTGAGAGTTTGAAAAAAAAAAGCCTTATCGATAATTTAAGGTGGGTCCAAATTTATTCCCCTAATATTTTAAAAAGTTTCCAAGAGCTAAGTCATAATGTGCTTACTGGTGCTAAATAATTAAATCTTGGGTTCACCGCACTCGTTTTTGAGTGAAAGACAAGGGAAGCTAAAACTGGATGACACTGCATTAGACTGTAGTGTTGCTATGGTAAGTTTTTGAGCCAAAAAAACTGTTCAAACCTGTTAAGCAATAATTGCCACGGATATTCCTCACAGATGTGGAATTGGTTGAAAAGTTCAAACTAAATTGTTGGGAGGTGTACTGATCTATTAGTTGATAAAAGTTATCTTGTTTAAATGGTCACTGCTCCATTGAGAAGGTGAATGGCATAAGGATAATCTTGATGAATCTACATTTCTGTAGATCAGCCATTATGAAATTGACAAATGTTTTGAAGTTAAAGGAAGAACTCATAGCAAGTTAATTTTTGCGTGAAGCTTAAATTAACAAGCACCATACGGACAGTGCAAGTCCATAATTTTTTTTGTAAGCTATGTAATTCTGGTTAACAGTGGAGTAAATAAGGTAATTAGGTAATTTGGTATTATTAACTGATTTGTTAACGTGAATTGGGCACCGTAATTAGTTTCAAAGCCGCGGTTTCAAGCGTTAGCCCTTCGTCAGAGCAAATCGCCAATTTACAGTGTCAAATCAGTTAATAGTACCAAATTACCCTGTTATACTCTTCCACCGACGTAGCACCACAGTTTCTTTAGAAACGTACCCCCTTTATAAATAGGTACTTTATTTGTTAATTTGTTCCTAGGGACCTGTCCAAGAACAAGTTGCAGAAGTTGCCAGCGGGGGCCTTTAGTAACAACTCAAGGCTGGAACATCTGTAAGGAGGACGTTTCTTCAGCTTACGAACATTCATTGATGATTTTTTGACCACGTAAAAATGAGAACTACAGTAGATCAGAAATTACAGTGTATGTTTCCTGCCCGGAAGAAATGATATCGTAATCATGTGTCCTGTTGCGGAGAGTTTCCATGACTTGCAAAAAATAACACATCAAACTGTGAGGGAGCACTACAAATTAAAGACCATCCATATCGAAAGCGCGAAGATCTAAGAAATTCCTCATGTTTTTCAAATTTATCGTGTTTCAAATCGACAAAGTTCACGACTGAAAGTCGTTGACAATCATCCCTGTGATTTCTTTTATTTAACCCGACTTTTCCAATATCTGCTTGCACCACCCAAGCACTTTACAGTGATTTTGATGTTTTCGCCGATTGGAAAAGATTTTTTTTTTTAATTGCAAAAGTAAGGGTCGCACTTGGAATGTCCCCCGACGACAGATTTTATCCACCCAGAAAACACATCTTGGAAAACTCTTTCCAAGTGCAACACAAGCCTATGACACAAAAGTATACAAAGGCGAGAGATTTAACCAGGAATCCACCACTGACATGCAAGTGCATAAAATTACAAAGAGACAGAGAACTTCCAATACATTAATTTTTGTTCGTGTTGTCCACCAGGTGTAAAGCAGGCTGGTCCTATCACCAGCGAGATTAAAGGAATATAACAACAAGTGATTTAAAATGAGTCCTCCATTTCTTTCAATATGCGAGTTTTAATCATCGACAAGCAATTAATCTGATCAAAGTTTTCGCCATCTTTTAAAATTTGTACCACTGCCTAGAAAACCAGATGGTTTCTCTTGAAATGTTGGCAGATTAATTGAACGATGTTATTTTGCACGAGAATCTCTTAAGGGTAGAGTAACAACTTGATCTAATTATCCATTAACGTGAGTCAAATATAAACGTTGTTATTATTTTGAAAAAGTATCGGGTGCTTTCAAGATGTAGCTAGGAAAACACACATGCCGCCGACAGCAGAGTTCACACTTCGTTGAAATGACTCATTTGTTCCAGGATCTTGTCCAACAACCAGTTACAGAATTTAACGCAAGGAGTGTTCGCTGGCATCAAGGTTTCCCTCCGAGGGATGTTGACACTGTAAGTAAGACTCCTATACTGCAAATCAACGTTAATGAAAAGCAAAACAAAAAATCGGAAATCAATAAATTAAAATTGAATTTGGTTAACTATGGAGCCAAACATCCAATAGCTCGAGCCACCGCTTTCTAACCGTCCATAACTGCTTAGTATGATCACACAAAGCCTCTGGTTTCACAAAGTTTGTATTACAGCTAACGGTAACGAAACAGTTTTTCCGCCGTATCGTTACTTTTTAATTAGTAGAAAACATTTAGCCCAAGGGTTGCTTAAAGTAACTGTTGAAATTTTTGTCCAGGGAGTTGAAAGAATACATCTTTGTAAGATGATTTCAAATATTTCGTTAAGTTTATCAATAAGCGAGTTCAATTCAATTTAATAAATGAATAACCAATGAATCTAGTATGATCACGAGCGACGTTAATCCTCATGAGACATTTTAAATCGGTAAACAGCTTCAGATGTTTGAATGTTGGACCATGCAGGGGCCAGAGGATAGCACATAAAGTTTATTTTAACAATCTGTTTATTACTTCTTCAAATTTTAGATTAGATTTTCATTCCAGCCAAGTAATCTAGATAGTATCAACCTCAGATAATGCCGAATAAACAATGCTATTCGGCCTTAGAATAATGGAATATTAGCAAGGCCGGGTTAAATTTTTCAGTGAGATATATCCGATAACGCTAAAAATAGTTGCACATTATTTAAATCGTACCGAGAGTTTTTTTAATAATATACTTTGTCATGCACCATGCAGATATTCCTTTTAATCTGGATCATAATTCATATAAGTTACTTCGGACTGACTCAACATTATTCTTCAACACAAGGTTGTTTTTGAGGAAGAGCCATCGTGACTTATTTTCGGTCGCTTCGAACACTTGCTTTTTTCGCAAAATACGTGAATCAATCGGCACTTTGTGTCAAGGTTTCTTTCAAACCGATAGAAAGTTTTTGCGAAATGCCGCGTACGAACGATTCCAATCGACAGAGCATGTCTCTAGTGGAGCTTTCTGACGAAATTTTAAAATAGAAAAACTGTCCGAATCAGCTGTTGTGATATCTTAATTTTAAAACGAAGCACGAAACCATCTTTTTACAGTGTCAGCCACTGTTACATCGATAGCTCAACTCTATTTCGTTCATCAGCAGGTTTGTCTAGGTAATCACATGATTTCGAATGCAATTTGGAATAAATAAGCACGAGTAAAAAATTTTTTTGTGGTCTTTGAAAAAATTAACAAGGTAGTACTTGTTTACTCCAAATTGCTAATCAATTAGCAATTAATTATTTAATTCAATTATCTGATCACAGTATCCGCTATCTTTAAAATTTGTACCACTGCTCAGAAAACCAGATGGTGTGAAATGTTGGCAGATTAATCGAACAATGTTATTTTGCATTAGGATGTCAAGGGTAGAGTAACTTGATCTTATTATCCACTAATGTGAGGCAAATAAAATGTTAATGTTATTATTTTGAAAAGTATCGGGAGCTTTCAAGATGTAGGAAAACATACATATCGCAGACAGCAGAGTTTACACTTCGTTAAAATGACTTATTTATTCCAGGGACTTGTCCAAAAACCAGTTACAGGATTTACCATCAGGGGTGTTCACTGGCATTAAGGTTTCCCCAGGGGGGACGTTGACGCTGTAAGTAAGACTCCTATACTGCAAATAAACGTTAATGAAAAGCAAAATTAAAAATCGGAAATTAATTAATTGAAATTGATTTTGGTAAACTAAGGAACCAAACACCCAATAACTGCTTAATAAGATCACATGAAGCCTCTTGTCTCACAAAGTTTGTATTATAGCTAACGGTAACGAAATAATTTATTCGCCGTGTTGTTATTGTTTAATCAGTAAAAATGATTGCCCCTAAGGGTTCCTCAAAGTAGGTGTTGGAAGTTGTTTCCAGAGGGGTTGAAAGGATACATCTTTATGAGACATTTCAAATGGGTAAACAGCTTCAGATGTTTGAATGATGAACCATGCAGGGGTGAAAGGATGGCACTTAAAGTTTATTTTAACAATCTGTTTATTACTTCTTCAAATTTTAGATTTCATGTTCATTCCAGCAAAATAATAGAAAAATTATCCCTCATGGTTTTGAATCATTACCTCTACTTGGATGTGCAGATAGTATCAACCTCAGAAAATGCTAAATAAACAATGCTATTCGGCCCTAGGATAATGGAATGATTAAGCCACTCCTTAAATTTTACTGAGGCCAATGAAGATATATCCGATAATGTTAAATATAGTTGCACATTATTTAAATCGTATCTGGAGTTTTTTTAATTATAGACTTTGTTATGCACTATGCAGATATTCCTTTTAATCTGGATTATAATTCATATCAATTACTACGGACTGACTCAACATTATTCTTTAATACGAGTTTGTTTTGGAGAAAGAGCCATTGTGACTTATTTTCGGTCGCTTCGAACACTTGCTTTTTTTGCAAAATACGTGAATCAATCAGCACGTTGTATCAAGGTTTCTTTCAAACCGAGAGAAAGTTTTTGCAAAATGCCGCGTACGAACGATTCCAATCGACAGAACAAGTCTGTGGGGAGCTATTCATCGAAATTTTGAAAAAAGAAAAACTGTCCGAATCAGCTGTTGTGATATATAGATTTTGAAACTAAGCACGAAACCATCTTTTTACAGTGTCAGCCACTGTTACATCGATAGCTCAACTCTAGTTCGTTCATCAGCATGTTTGTCTAGGTAATCACATGATTTCGAATGCAATTTGGAATAAATAAGCACGAGTAAATTTTTTTGTGTTCTTTGAATAATTAACAAGGTAGCGCTTGTTTATTCCAAATTGCTAGAGAAAAATCATGTGATTACGTGTTAATAATATACATGAAAAAATACGAGATGGCCTATCATAATTAAGCATAAGCAAAGCGCGTGTATCAAGTGCAAAAATAATTTATTCAAACCGTGCGTTCGCTCGAAACAAGCGCGTACGATCAAAACCGTGATAATATGCAATGATATCTTCACATCTTTAAGGCGCAAAATAGTTCAAAGTCCGGCTAAACAGTTCAAGGAATTGTTCAGGCTGTGTCCGAATCACTTTCGATGAAATGGAATCGTCATTTCCGAGGTTTAACCATGTTTGTTTTTAATTTCGGCGTTGGATCGCTCGAGCAAAGTGTTAAGCTGGGTCGGCTCATAATTTTCGATTTCCTTGGCAATTCCCTTCTCTAAACACCACTTTTTCCAAATCGACAACCAGAATGCAGAGCTTTTTACAGTGTTTCCGTTGTTTGAGCTGTCTTTCAGCTGCGGTGGCGAAAGAAAACCTACCTAAAACGCCGGCCATCGTTTCGCTCGCAAATTTTCAAATTTTCAAATTTGGTTCTGACATCCAAGGCTCGCATTTGATTAGCTATCTGTGAGTTTCTTTGATTACTGGCCAATCAGAATGTCTGATTTGTCACTTTCTTTGCACTGAATTAACCCTCTTCTGCACTGAATTAACTCTCTTCTGCACTGAATTACCTGAAAACTGCATTTATCTTAACCAATCAGAATTGAGTAATTTTTCCATGTATGTTATTAGAAGGGTAACTTTTGAGTATATCCCCATCTTTTATGTTGGCTGTGTTCGAGAGAGAGGGATTATGTCGTCGATGTAGTGTTTCCAATCAGCGCCTTTATCTAAGATTTGAATTTTTAGCCATGAAGATAGTTGCAAAAACTCCTACCATTTTTGGGTCCATGGCGGTTCCGTGCGTTTGCAAGTAATTTTGTTGGTTGAATTGTGAAGAGTCTTCCTGCAAAATCATCCTAAGCGCTTTGTTATATGTGCACTTTACGCAGTGCTTCTAGAACGAGGAATACTCTTGTTGTTTGTGCACTTCACGCAATGTATTCCTCGTTCTCCAATACCCCAGCTTGATACAAGTCGTCTAAAGTATTCACGAATCGTACGATTCGTCAACCATGAATATTCATCACGGAAACTATGGAAACGAAACGGATCGTAAGGTTGTGCTGTCTATCCATGAATGTCATTAGGGATACTTAGATATACCACGTTGAGAGAATTAGCCCCGGATGGTGGTGTGTCGATTCGTGCGAGTCGTTCAAGTCGTCGATTCACGAATATTCATTACGGAAACCATGGAAACGAAGCGAGTCGTATGGCTGTGCTGTCTATCCATGAATGTCATTAGGGTGACTGACAAAATTTGCTCGTGCTTATTTATTCCAAATTGCACTCGAAAGCCTGTGACTACCTATACTAATCATCGTTTCAACGGTTGCATGTATTCGGTGTTCCGATGCGTGCGTCGAATTTGTCCGCTCATTAATATTGCATTGTATTGAAACAGAATTCACATTACTTTTGGTTGTTATTTGATAACAATAGAAATGTCTATGCTTTTCCTTTCACAAGTTCTGTAGAAGTTGCAATTTATAACAAATTATAGGTGACAATTTTTTTTTATAATAAAATTATTTATGAATATCGCCAATGAAAGTCAGAAAGAACCCTTCAGCCCAAAGGGCTTCGAAAGCACCATTCCTAATGGAAATTATTTGGTCCATTTTGCGTAGTGCTTTTTGCCAAGACGAGAAATGCAGTGATCGTTTGTGCACTGCGAGCAGGCCTTTTTTTTAGAACAAAGAGGAATAGAGTTGTTGCTTGCGCACTTCACGCGTTGCTTTTAGAACAAGGGCCACTTTTGTGAAAAAATCTCCCTAATGACATTCGTGGATAGACAGCACAGCTTTACGACTCGTTTCGTTTCCATGGTTTCCGTAATAAATATTCATACGACTCGTACGAATGGACACACCACCATCAGGGCTCAGTGGTATGAGATGAAAAAAGGTTTGTCTCCCTAGTGAGGGGTACGACGACTCGTATCGATCCGTAGTATTGGAGGAGAGAGCTGGGCGGACAACTTCGCTCTCAATGAGAATCAGGCTATGGGTGTAGGAACGGGGAGCGCGAATATCTTCATTTACGTTTTACTACAGGAGTATTTAGAATCACGCGTACGCTTGTGAGGCATGCAAAGAATGCAACCGGGGCGTTTCATTCAAAGAACGAGAAGCCTTTTGCAAATGGCTATAAATCTGCTAAAACCAGCTGTGATCAGCAAACACGTTGTTCACATCAGCTTAGAGCTCATTCGTGACACTACTTGGTTACTGTTGCGTTGCGACATTGTGATTGACCTTTGCACCAGTCATGCGTGTTTTCACTGTCTTCCCAAAACTGTTGTTACGTTGTGATAAATAAATCAGGTAGAAGGCCATTTTTTCAGGTAAAAGGTTAAACTTTTACCTTGCCGTTTTTCGTGTTTAATTCGCCCGTGAAATCGCCCGTCCGGTAATAGATGGGAGGTGCATAAACCTTTTTATGCAGCACCGGTATCAGGCACAGTAGGGACCTTAAGCAAACCACGACAGCGACGGCAACGAGGACATGGAAAAACAATAGATTTAATTAACAAAACAATAGCTCAGCACGTGCGTTTGAAAATTTTGTACATTTCATAGCCGTCCCATGCAAAACAACAACGTGAAATCACCACAAATTGCGTCGTCTGCAAACCGAAACCGCGACGGCAAGTTGTTTTAATTTCCATTTGGAACTCAACGCCTCTTTTATACGTTATGCTGAAGTTGAGGTGTGGCGCCGTATGAGACGGTGAACACATTCAGCCATTTTTGAAATTCTAATTAACGGCAGAAATTCATTTTTAATTGAAGTCTTCACTGGCGTTGCCGTCCTGACTGCTTAAGGTCCCTATTATTACAAATGTGTAAAACATGCGCAACGAGTAAAAATACTAAAAATACTACACACCAAAATGTCTAATAAGTTATTTATTACCTAACTTTTTTCTGCCAAGTGTTTCTGCTCATTTTTCATAAGGCGGGAAAAGTAAAGCGGATAGTTCACAAACAGCTCACTTTTTTTTACAGTACATAATAACCAACTGTACAATATCGCAGGATATTTGTGATTTACTTGTGCTCTATTCGCGCCATATTTGTACTGCACTTTACGCAGTTTGATATAATTTTGAGATGAAGGATTTTGTTCTATAACTTGAAATGTTTGAATGAAGGACCATTCGGAGGTCAAAGGATAGCACGCACAGTTGTTTTAATATTCTTTTTTGTACTTCCTTAAGTTTAAGATTTCATTTCAACTCCACCCAACTAATTGAAAGTCGTCCGTCTCGTGATTTTGAAATTGTTACTTTTAGTTAGATTAGCAGATGTTACCACCTTCAGAAAATACCAAATAAACAATATTATTCAGTCTCAGGATAAGTTTACATAGGTAAACAGCCTCAGTGCGGTTAAAGCCAAGTAAAATTTTAGTCAATGAAGATATATTCCATGATATAAAAATAGCCCCAACCAGTCAAATCATATCAAGATGTAATCATACACTTTTATTCATTACGCGGAACGTTATCCTATGGTTCGCAGCTTACATTTTGTTGTTGTTATTTTGATTATAGGGACTTGTCTCACAACCAATTAAAGAATCTATCTCCAGAAGTTTTTGGCGGAATTTACTGGTCCTTTTCTTCAACTGTGACGCTGTAAGTAAAGACTGTTGAACTTTGATTGTATAATTGTTTACAGGGACCAAAAGTAGATCAAAGTCTGTAACTTACCCAGGTAAGTGTCGGGATGAAATGGGAGGAAGAAAGGGTGCATAGATGCTGAGCTGACTCCTCCCAAACCCATGAAGTGTTGCATACAGGAATGACAGCGAAGGGGCCGTACATGCCTGGTGAAAACCATCAAGCGACGTAGATCTAAGTCTGCGAAATTAGAAACCATCATTTCTTTCTGTCATGAAAAAAAAAAAAAAAACTAGCATCTCTTTCATCGTGCATAAGATAAAGGTGAGGACACCGTGAAAATTTACCTGTCACTGAGCGTGATCCGCCGGGTAAATGAGATTTTCGAAAGAAATAATGTCATCTGAGAAAAACGTTTTATAAACGTGGGCGTTAGTCATCAAACGAAATCAAGCACATGCATAATCACGTGTTATTTGAATAACTAAAGCTCGACCCTTTAATTGGTCAGCTCCGTGTTATATATCGTTTGATTTCCAAATTTTTAACAGTTCATTAGTCTCTTTTGGTTGATTTTGATCCGTCTGTCATAATACAGGGTCTTTTGATTTAAAGTAACAACGGCTTAGACCATTTCGCTCAGATCTTGAAAGTTCACACCAGCTTGGTATCGTACTCTTGATTCTAGTGTTACCTTTGGCAAAATTGGAAATTTTTTCAGATACTTTTTTTGATCATAATTTAACTTTCTTATGGCGATTGCGGCTCATCATGTGACCCCAACTTTTGTTCCTCAATGATTTCCATAACATACACCAGGCAGTATAGCTTGTGGAAAGTGCGGCGTCACTGACAGAAATAATGTGACTTCGTGAACGCCTTTGGTCGAGCATCATGACTGGATGCTCAAGATAAATAGCCACTTAGACAATAAGATTGTCGCTCTCGGTGGCGGAATGGAGACGAAACTGATCATGCAAGCGCTTAACCTAAGAGTCTTACTTCGAGGGGGTGAGGGGGCAGGGCGAAGGAATTACCTCTGAGCTGACTGACTAACGGACAAAGGGAAAATATCAGTCAATTATTTCTTGACACCAATAATGAGCAGCAATTGGACTTGGAACGAGTCAGGAGAGACTTAACAGGAGTTTAATTTGCCTGCATATTTCCTGGAAGAATGTAAATCTAGAATCAATCCAATCAGACGCTATTAAAGCCCCAACATCTTTGGGGATTTCCGCACATGAAGGCGGGCATGAGAAAGGATTTGGTTAAGGTGATGGCTCTAATAGTTTTTTGCAGAGTAAGCCGTAACTGGGCCAGTAAACGAGCGGTCGAATTGCAAGTGAAGGAACTACTTATATTTTTGTCTGATTAGCATCCCTCTCCTAGCTCCGTCAAATTAATTTTCTCGTAAAATCTCTAGCTACGCATGCTAAGCCGGAACTTGAAAGTCCTTGTAAAGAAAAGAAGTGATCTTAAGCCTAATAATTATTCGACCCTAATAGTTGGACGGCCTTAACAATTATTCACCAAAGTGGAGGTGAGTAGTTGTTGCTAATTCATATCTGAACTAGCCAATCAACGTGCGCGAAAAGCACTATTCCCTTAGTACGTATATACTAACTTTAGTTAATGGTGTAGGAAGTTATTCCATTAACTTATTTTTGAGTTCTCATGACTGAGTGAGCGGTGTGGAAGGCTCTGTCAATTATTTGTGGTCGTCAGGGTAACTCACTTCGACTTGAGGCGACCCACCCAGCCATTATTTGTACTTAGACCATTGGAAACTCTGGTCCCTACATAAGGAGGTCATTTGTTCAGCTGACTGTCATGACTGAATGCCTAGGAATATACAAAAAGAGTCAAGGACTATTGTTTGTAAGGAGCTCTTTTTCTCCCACAATCTGATAGTAATGTAATTCAGATTAACTGCGATGGTAGTGGAATTAAACTTCTTTTATTATTATTATTATTATTATTATTATTATTATTATTATTATTAGTTCAATAATTCCTGTTATTGGATTGGACCGCATTTTCTTCAGCGAGTGGCCATTTTGTTTTGACATCATGAATTAAAATTGACATGATAGCGAGGTCTTGCGTGGAAAGACTGGTCTTCCGGTCAAGGCAGTTAGGCTGAACCAAATTTCCACGCCGAAATGTGAAAAGAATAGAGGGTAAAATATTCCAAACTTAACTTGCCTTTAGAAAAGCTGAAGCATTGAAACAGCATCATGGGGTCGGAATTGACCAAGAAAATTAATCTCGGAACGCGTCACGTCTTCAATCAAGTCTCACCAGAGAATACCGAAAAGTAAACATCCCATGCAGCAAACGATATGCTGTTCGTTAAAATTTTTCCAGCGCGTTGAAAATATTTGAAGGATAATAAAAACAAGAATTACTTTATAGTAGGTAAAATAGGACACATGAAGAGTGGCTTTCCAATCCGCAAATCCAAAGATTACTCGAGGTCCAGGACTGTTTATGACGACCAGTAAAAATAGTGAGATCTGAAACACCTTGAAAACGTTTGACAGTAAACGATGTGTTGTTTTCATAGAAAGGGTTTAGTTCCCGCCGTTTGACCGTCCATGTAAACTACATTGCGACTTCTTACTGCAAGGCTAAGGAATACGCCGAGTGTTTCGTTTCATGTGATCAAGGAGCTTTGGTGAATAGTTGGGACTTTTATTTCTGTGGAATGAATCCCATTGAAAGGTTAAAAGTGTATTGGAAACTCGTTTGGTTACTATTTCACCGCTGGCAAAAACCTCTGATGTCAAACATTGGTGCATTTCTGAGATGCCATAAAATGTCCCAGAAAAATGACGACAATTTGCCTCATATAACCTGTACGAATGTCCGTGGCCACATGATGTGGCATTTGTGACGATCTGAATACTCGGTTCCGGGCTAGCATGTAGTTCAAATTACCTGAGTACTACCGCAGTTTTCTTTTAAGAGTTTGGAGATTTTTCTCTTTGTCCTATTTCTCTAATCAAATTAACAACGGGACAGTTTTTGTACCAACATCTCATGCTGTTTGCCGTTTGTGAGTTACTTTGTTGCGCTAAGGAAATTGAAATTAAACATTGGAGTTTGGATTTAGTTTTACAACGATCAGCCTCATGCCTTTGGAATCATCCGTTTTGTCGAAAATTTCCATAATGAACTCGTTGGTTATTTCTGCAGGCCTAATGGCAGAAAAACAGAATTTTTTCCTCCTAGACGACAAAATTCTTCACGATGCCGACTGCGCGGATATGTCGCGCTATGATAATACCGAACTCGCAAGGACCAATCAGAATCAGTTTTGTACGTTGGGTATATTTATCTATAGATTAACATAACAACCCACGTACCAGAGAGTAAACACAAATCAATAGACCAATATGTCTGAAAAGTTTCAGTTTATCTGAAAATTTGTAGAAAACAAAAGCAATATCGATAGGCTTGTAATCACAATATCGAAAGTGGCGAAAATAAAATTTCTAACGGACGAGGAGGTGGCTTGTGAAATTGAAGATGACCCCAAGGAAAGTGTCAAATTACTTTTTTGCACAGCTATGTAGAACAGTCGTGCGTTAGGGGGGAGGGGAAAGGTGTATAGATAAAAGCCGGTTGATCCACATTCTGCTCGATGACATCAAAATCTCCGTTAATCTGAAAATTCAGAGACGTCTTGAATTATTTGTAAATGTAATATTTGTATCAAATAATTTTATATTGACCAATTGCAAAACGAGTCCGTCTTGATTTTCAATAAGGAATCCCTTCAGTCAAACCTAAGTAACCGACTTTATTCAACGCTTTTCCTTGAATAATCGCCCGGGCGCTAATTTCGAATTTCGGCTGAAAGGAGGGGCGCTTAATTGGAAGGAGGGCGCTTAAGCTGTAATTGAAGGTTAAAGAGTTATAGGTAAAGTTGCAATAGAAACAGGTTCTCTTCATATCTGAGAAAAAGAAGGAGGAAGGGGGCGGTGGCTTACTCGAGGGGCGCTTGAAACGTAGCAAAACGAGACTTTCTTTCGCAAGGAGTTATATGGAGTTATAGGTTTTACTTAATAGCGCAGCTCTAATATTTGATGTGATGATTTCTTATTGACAGGGACTTATCCCATAATCAGTTGCAGGACTTACCCTCAGAAATTTTCAGAGAGCTTTCGGGGCTCGTCAGACTGTAAGTACCAACCAACATAAATCTTTATTTACAACTGCAATATCCACAATCGAAAAAGTCTCGTTCAGAATTCAACCACCTCAACAACTATCGGTGGAAAAAAAGTTTGTGGCTAGCTAGCAATAAAACTCCTTCAAACCTGTCCAACCTAATCAAGCAATTTCAGTTAACGTATTTCCTCGAATAAGCACCGGAGCGCTATTCTAAAATTTCGGCTAAGAGGAGGGGCGTTTCTTGGAAGGAGGGCGCTTATTAACAAACTGTTAACCAGTACTGATCAGGCTGAAGTTAAATTTAAAAAATTATAGATAAAGTGGCAAAGAAACAGATTTTCTTTGTATTTAAGAAAGTGTGAAGGAGGAATTGGGGGAGGCGGCTTATTACGGGGGGAGGGGCGCTTAAAATGAAATAGAACAAGACTTTCTCCCGCTAGGAGTTATGTGGAGTTTTAAACTTCATCTAAAAGCGCACATCTAACTATCTGTTCTGATTCTTTCTTGTTGACAGGGACTTATCCCATAATCAGTTACAGGACTTACCCCCAAAAGTTTTCAGCCACCTTTTTTATCTCGACAGAGTGTAAGTACTGACCAACATAATCTTTATTCATCACTGAAACATCCACACGAGTGAGTCGAGGGCCCGAAACAGTTTAACGCAGAATTCCACTACTAGCAGATGAAAAAAGTACAATCGGTTGCGAAAGAAAAAAGGCGAGCAACAAAACACCATCTAATTCCCCCCCCCCCCTCCCTCCCTCCTCAAAAACCCCACCACCAGCCATGCTAGGACTAGAAACTGGCCTCAAAATCAAACTCAACCTTGTATCGAGGGTGGGTAGGGAAGGCAAAGACCAGGCATCCAGGTAAATACAAGTTAAAACAGACTTTTTGTCACCTTATCTTAGAATTTCAGCAATTTTTTAGCCCCAGGAGCAGTTGTTATCAGAGCCCAGTAACGACACGAAAATTTTGTGATGGGAAATTCATTTGAATTCGGGTGCATTTATCGTTAAGTGAATCGGTAATTCGTTCAGTTTACTAAACATAATAGTTAATTTCTGTAATATAAATAATACGGACCCACCCAGGCTGGTGAATAACATTGTTTTCAAAGAGTTAAACGAATGCTTCAAAAAAAGACCCCGAATGATTTAGGACTGTATTTACGGCAAGATCCTCCCGGCCATAAACTGAAAAAAATTTTGCCGAGTAGATAGTATAGAAAAAAGAGGTGATGCAAATTAAAGAGATAGGCTTCACCCAAACAGTTTTATTTGCGTAAAGATAAAGGTAATTTAAAGGGCTTCCAAGCAATCTTTGCAACATGATTATCATGACGATGTTTTCTTAAAAACAATCAGTGAACTTAAGGAGAGTATTATACACTTCCATTGGCGATTAATCCACGTAGATTTATCGCTGTTTAGTTTTAGGTGACAAAGAGAGTCAGTGTCACCATTTTTAAATGTATGTTTTGAAGTTGTGAGAGTCTGTTTGTTTGTTTGCTGCAACGGCGTGTGCAAATCTTGTCGTTCTCACACCGAAAAACTAAAGTCAAATGAGACACTATTCAGACACAAGAGATTTAATGCTGCATTTATTCATGCCATATAATTCCCTCAGTTTTTTTGTTGTGCAACTGACAATAAAAAGTCCAAATTTCAACGGACTTGCCGAAAGTATATTTATAGTAGATCGTAGAACTCAAAACATCGCTTGGGGTCTAAAAACGACTAAATTGTTTTGGGGATTTCAGATAGTAAATTTAATTTAATATAAATGTGAACAAGTACCTCACGTTTTTACTTTCAAAGTTGCTTCTGGTGAAGGATTTTTAACTTACAAACAGTTTTTAGGCCGCGTTTCAACCCGTTTAATAACTCGTAATTTGCTACCACAAATTTCATTTCGATACCAGTTTTTAAAGGAATCCAAAGGGATTTAAAAGGGAAAGAAAGAGAGAGAGAGTTAGATTGATGTGTTCATTTGCTACGATGAGTGGGTATTTGCTACGTAAGCTAATATTTGCTACGGTAGCAAATTCGGAGGGTGGGTATTTGCTCCTATGAGTGGGTATTTGCTACAATAGCAAATACGGAGTGGGTATTTGTTACGCAAAGGTACATATTTTCCACTGCAGCAAATACGCACAGGGAGTATTTCTTACGGTTGCAATTACGTTACTACCCAGATATGTATTTCATCGCGATTTTCTATGGATTTCGTGCAAAATGTACTCTCATGCAACAATAAATCTCAATTAAGCTTTTTCAACACATCAATTAGACTAGTTTTCGGAGGCCCAGCCTGTTACCGATCGACAGGGTGGTAATGGTATCGATTTTAGATTCTGTTTAAAAATCGGAAACCGAATAATTTCATATATGTCGTAAGAAACTTGAAGATATAAAGATAAGTGAGTTTCAGGAGGCTGTCTATTATCCTGGAACAGTTGAAGACCCAGCACGATACAGGATACTGGTAAATGATCATAAAACGGCTGGAGTGTATGGTGCAGCAGTCGTCTGGCTCTACGATGACTTGTACAAGCTAATAGAGATGTACCTAAGAACTGTAAGAAGTCAAAATACTACCTTGGATCCAAAGGTCGAGCAGGTATTCGTGTCTAGTAATGGCATACCCTTAACGTCGCCGCAAGTGTCTACTTCTGTTTACAGAACTTGCCAGCGAGAAGGTATAGCGACAAAAGGAAGGATGTGCGCAACAATAGTCAGGAAATCCCTCGCTACTGAAATGCACACATGCATGCCCGACGAGCAGGAACATTTAGCTGCCCTGGCACAACACATGACACGAACGCAAGCAGACTACTACCGCGTCCATGAAATAGTATCTGAGACTGATTTGAGACTCACGCGAAAGAAGAGAAGCTTACCTCATGTACAAAGGAGGAAGAGGAAAAACTTCAACAACTATTCCAAGAAGACATTGCAACTGGGGCTATATGAGGGTGAACTAAATGAAAAAGTGTCGACAACAAACTTGCTGAAAGTGCATTCATTCAAAGCAATCGTCTTAAAGCTCCGGCGAATAAGCGCGGAACAAAGAAAGGACATCTCACATCCCAGTGAGAAGATGACAAGCACAGAGAAGGTTAGTAGCTCTCTTTCCTCAAATAGGCTCGAGGGTGATGTATTTGGTCCAGTCAACGCCCTCACAAAGTCCGAGAGTGATGTATCTGGTCCAGTCAACGCCTTCTCCCTACAATCTGATTCCTCACGATTTTGGAGGAAGATTACCGACGAGCAAACTAGTTATGTACTTAGCTTAACGAAAGACCTGGTGGAAAATGACTCTGTGAAGAGGGAAATCGTTTGGGAATGAGTGCGAAATGATTCAAGATCACAGGAACTTGGGCTTATCACTGGTAAAGAGGACGAAGAAGAATTAATGAAATGCAAACAAACAAACTCTTATTCCGCTCAAATGAGAAAGACGGTTACAACACAGAGAGAAAAAAAAAATATATGTATGCTAATTTAAAAAAATAAAAGTTTGAATAACAAAAGGAAAAGAAACACCTGGACCAATCATAAGTCAAATGAATAATTCCTGTGAAATATATCAAATTCAAATGACAACGGTCAAATCATAATATACATAATAACAACACTCCCACTTTTGACGTTGCTTATTTGACAGTCTTCATGCCCAGCTTAGTAACAAGTTTCTCAAAGCGATGCTTAGGCAAAGGTTTCGTAAGGATGACAGCAATCATCTCGTGTGTACCAATATATTTCAAAGCGATCGCTCCGTCTTGTACTCTTTTGCGAACGAAGTGGTAACGTATATCGATGTGCTTGGTCCTGGCATGGCCCACGGGACTCTTAGCTATCGAAATAGCCCCTTGGTTGTCTTCATATATTTCAGTTGGTCCCTCTGGAGGTTCTCCCATGTCTGCCAACAACCTTCGAAGTCAGACTGCTTCCTGAGTGGCCGTACTGGGTGCTACATACTCTGCTTCTGTTGTCGACAATGCGACGGTAGCCTACTTTTTGCTTAGCCAACTTACTGCCCCACCAGCCAGTGAGAACACGTTTCCTGAAGTGGAAAACCGGTCATCCATATCACCCGCCCAATTTGCATCTGAGTAACCAATGAAATTTCCATCAGCATTTGTATCTCAATCCGAGATATGCAGTTGCTTTCAGATATCTGAGGATTCGCTTTGTTGCTGTTAAATGATTTTGTGTGGGATTGGCACAGAACTTCGACACAACTCCCACTGCTCGGGCGATGTCTGGACGAGTTGCGATTGCAGCATGAAGTAGGCTTCCTACAATCGATTGATACGAGGTCACATCAACCGGTCTGCTAAAACCATCTTCCTTTTGTAGCTTGACGTTCAAATTAGCAGGTGTAGACACCGGTTTTGCTTCAGTTTGCCCAAACTTCTCGAGCATCTTTTCGACGAAGTGCCCTTGATGAAGAAAGACTTGCTTGTTTTTCACACCTTGAACGATACAGACTCCGACATAGTAATAAAATATTTAAAACTGGTAAGCAAAAAGAAGTAGCAAATACTGACTCGAGAATCTAGAGAGGGAGGGAGAGAGAAAAGAGAGAATTAATAAATTATTTATCGTCTAAATGTCGTGACCGAAATATTTGCTAATAAATGCTGTTAGGCGCACTAAGCGACTCAACACGCAAAGGATTGGTCTAACGCGTCAGCTTTAAGTGCACTCCATTGTTATGTCTATCGCTTTTTGTCATCCGGATCCGCCCTTAGTCTCGCTACTAGAATTATTACACCTCTTTGAAAGTTGTTTCACTATTTTAAGACTAGACCTGAAATTATGTTAAACCACCTACATCGCATCAGCATTTATCTACGTTAACTTAGCGACGCAATACATCTGAGAATACAATCAATTGGTAAAATATTGGCACCAAACGTGCAGCATATATAGCTATAACTCGACCATCGTTTAGGTGATTTATCAAACTCATCGATCCATATACCAAGAAAGATAATTTTTTCCGATATGTTTATTAAATCAATTCCTGTGCTTACCTGCACTTTTGCAAACATTTGATATATCATTTGTGGCAGTATATTTGTTGAAGATTGATGTAAAGAAAACCT